ACCGCAAGAGCAAAACAAGAGGAGGCGGTGAGCAAAACATCAAACCTGTGCCAAGAGACAGACATGCGGTCAGAACAAGGCGTGCGCCTACGCGCAAGCAAAACAAGCCAACGTACGAGAGCTCATGATGACCAGGGACTTGGAATGGCGCTGAAAATCGGGTGGGGGGTGGGTGGCAGAAGAACAACACGCATGAAACGACGATGAGCGCTGACCGCAGGCACACAACACGCGCATACGCACCGCACTACACTACACATGACATGATCTGTCTCATCCCTTGCACTTGTGTCTCACCATGAGCATCGCGTGGATCTTGGAAACAGCCTTGCGGCCTCCGACGGTGAAAGGCATCTTTGGGGGTGGCGGGCGGTTGCGAAGCAGGCAATTGGATCGAAACAAAAAGAGAGGGAGCGGGGACGGAAGAAAACAAATGACAACACGTGTGGTGGTAGTGGACACGGTGAGGGAGAGGTGGCTAGCCACGCGATGACGGTTTGGTTGGTGGCAGTTTGGGGATAAGGGAGATGGGAGGGCGAAGGGATGAATGAATGATGGAAAGGGTGAGTCGCAGCGACGCAACCAGCAGAGCGGATTGCTCGATATTGGGGTGTGTGTGCGACAACTCGTTTGTCTTTGAGTTTTGCGGTGCTTCCGCCAATCGAAGGAGCAGTCGCACATTGTGCTGCTTCGATTTTCGCAATATCTTCCTGCGATTCCACTGCGGTAGCGTTGATGCGACAGGCGACATACAGAAATGTGGCAGTTTCAACAAAGCGACAAAACGCAAAAAATAAAACAAAACAAAAAAAACGGCAAAGCAAGAGAGAGAAAGAGAGGACAGCAGTGGACGCACAGTCAGCAGTGGACGCCGGGTCAGGAGCGTCAGCAGCAGCGTTGTTGTTTTTATCATCATGGGTGCTGTGCTTGGTGTTGGGGATGCGACACGGGCGCATGTCACTGGCAGTGCGGTGACGGTGATTGTTGGCGGCTTGCTATATGCCAACTTGCTGGTGTGGCAATCCTACCTGCAGGTCGTCTTTTGGGCGTTCCTGCTGTCGCAGGCCCTGCGCCCTCTCAAATCGGCAGTGGTGCGTGAGTGTGTGTGTGTGTTGCGTATTGTATCTTGTGTATTGTGTGTGTGTGTGTGTGTACTGTGTTGGGTGCTGCGTGTGTGTTGTGTACGATGTGTATGGGTGTTTTTGTGTGCGTTTGGCAGCTGCTTCAGCTGGGATACAGCAACGCGCGTTGCCACCTCCTCCCCTTGGTTGTGGTTTGCCGCCCACGCGAACATGCATTCAGACTCACGCGCACACACATGCACTCAAACACACGCACTCAATACGCAGCTGGAAACCATTGGTGATCTCAGACAGAAGGACGTTCCCGAGGATGATCGGTCAGTCGCCGTGTCGCTCTGCATTGCTGCTGCTGCTGCTGTATGTGTGAGATTGTCACAATGCATTGAACCAAGGCCGAATCTTTGTCTCATCTGTTCATGCACACGCACATACTCACATTCACACCCACACATACATGCACACACTCACATACATACACGCGCGCGCATCCACGCACACTCTCACTCACACCCTCTCTCACTCACATGTCGCTCCGCAGGCTGTCACTGTTGGACGCATTCCACGAGTTTGTGCTGCAACGCATGTGGCAGAACGCTGCTGAAGGCTACAACGACCGCCACAGACGCCACGCCATCCTCGGCGCGCTTGTCAACAACAGGTGCTGGTTGAGTGAAGGAGGCGCGGGGGTGGCGTGCGTGCGTGTGTACGTGTGTGTACGTGAGTGTGTTGTGTGAGAGGGAGTGCTACCTCTCTTCACTCTGGCATGTTTCACGCAACTAAGCGCAGTTGCGCTGAGGCGAGTGTTCTCTTCGTTGTGTCCTTTGATGGCTGTCTCTCTCTGTCTGGCTGTCTGACTGGCTGGCTGGCTGGCTGTCTCTCACGCTCTACTCTCCTCTTCCTCCTCCTCCTCTCTCTCTCTGTCTCTCTGTCTCTCTGTCTCTCTCCTCTCTTGTGCACTACATGCAGCTTCATCTTCTTTGGATTTGTGCTGCTGTTGATCACGTGGCACAACAGCATGGGCCCGGTGCAAGTTGCAAGCGGTCTCTTCATCCTCGCTACAACAGGCAAGCTGTCAGTGTGTGTGTGTGTGTGTGTGTGTGTGTGTGTGTGTGTGTGCGTGTGTGCGTGTGTGCGTGTGCATGTGTGTGTATGCGTGTGTGGGCTGCTTCAGCCTTCGGTTGTCGTAGCTGTTGAGATATCACCACCCTCATTGCTGCTGTGTTGTGGGACACGCGAATGCGGTGCAGTGTATGTGGCTGCGCGGGTGTTGGATCGTCACCTCCTCAATCTTCATCGCCTCTTCCTCACAGACAACGCCCTGGTACTTGAAATGTGATGTGATGTGGTGTAATGTGGTGTAAACTGCTGAGTGTTTGGTATGAGCATCGTCATCCCCAGCACCCCATGCCCTCTCATTCCTTCATTCTACTGCCATGCCTTGCTAACGCGTCTCTGCTCCACCATTCTTGCTTACTGCCAATCGCCAACCACCAATCAATCAAATCAATCACGGACCACGCATCACCCGTCACCCATCGCGACAGGTGACGCTAACGCTGACGTTCGGCTCTGTGTTTATGGTCGGGTTTGTTATTTTCTTTCTTGGCATCGCCTCCCTTTCCGAGGGCATACACGCTGTCGACGAAACCTATATCTGGGTCACCGCCTACATTCACGGTGTGTGTGTGTGTGTGTGTGTGTAAGTGCGTGTGTGCATGTGTGCGTGTGTGCATGTGTGCATGTGTGCGTGTGTGCGTGTGTGTACGTGTGTGTTCATGTGTGTGTGTCTTTGTGTGTGTGCGTGTGTCGGCGCATGTGACACCTCCCCAACTACGTTCCATCCCTTGTTGTATCGTGCTCCAATAGCGCCTAACATCACGTGCACACTGCTGCCCTGCACCGTCATCACCAATCACGAACCACTTGCAAGAGAACAACGAGTACATGCAGAGCTCGTGGTCACATCTCTCCAGCACCGCATACACCGCCTACCAGGACGTATGTCACTGAGATGAAGTTGAGTGCGCGTGATTGTGCGCGGTGCTGTGAAGCCGTGTACGTGGCATTGGTGTGGTCCTTTGCATGCATTGTTTGATGGTGTTGCGGTTGCAACTTTGGGCAATTCTCTCACACACCTCTCACATATCTGCTCACACACTCCACCTGCCGTCTTGCCTCCAGTATGTCAAGGAGAATTTCAACAACACGGAATGGTGGGTGGAAATGAAAACGAAAACTATGTATGCGTGTGTCTGTAGCATAGAGGCCTGTCAATGCTACGTAGCAACATGCTAAGGACTTCTTTGTCTGTGTGTGTGTGTGTGTCTCTCACTCACACACACATCCTCATGGTGGCAGGTGGCCTGCGGTTGAGAATGTGGAGCGGGCGATATTGGAGGAGCAGAACATTACGCAAGCCATCGAGGGCAGCAGGGAATACCTGGACGATCTTTACGGCGCCGAGCCCTGGTGGTGCGCCTTCTACACTGTCCTGTGACGTGATGTAATGTAGTGTGTTGTGTAACACATGCGAGTGCGTGCAGTGCGTCAGCCGTACGAGCACCCGATACCATGTCACCATCGCATCTGTTTCGTCTTCTTTCTTGCTTGCACGCCCGTACATGCGATTCCACCCTATTGTGTGCGTGCAGGGGCGTGGTGGACCGGGTGGTTGAGCTTGGCATCCGCCAGCAAGGATCAGCCCACGATCAGGCAAAAGGATTCTTCAACGACATGCTCGAGGTGCTGTGGTGCTCGCGTGTGCGTGTGCGTATGCGTGTGTGTGTGCGTGCTCGTGCGTGTGCTCGTGTGTGTGTATGCAAGTGCGTGTGTGTGTGTCTGCGTGTGCAAGCGATTGCCGTTTGCTTGTCATTGTACCATTCCTTCATCGCCTCGTCCTCACGTCACACACACACGTGAATACAGAACATTGATGTCCTTCAGCACATGGGCACGCATCTCCTCTCGCAGATCTCAAACCCGGCGCAACTCGCCTTCAATGTGTGTGTCTGTGTAAATGCGTTTGCATGATCTTCCTTGTGTGTGTGTGTGTGTCTGTGTAAATGCGTTTGCATGATCTTCCTTGTGTGTGTGTGTGTGTGTGTGTGTGTGTGCATTCGTCTGCATCATGCACATTCCCCCACTGCTCATTCCGCAACAACACGCCACCACCCACCACCACATCACGTGTCGTTCGTCCAAGGTGATGTTCCGCATGTCGAGTGCCATCAGCGCCGTCAGCACATTTGGATCGCAGGTGAGACGTTGCGACGTGTGGTGGTGTTTGGTGATGCGTGTTGGTGATGGCGACAGTGGAACGTGGTGACTGGCGCTGCTGTTGCAGACACCCACACAGTGCTCGTCGCTTCCCCACCGTCACACACACACACACACACACACACACACACACACACACACATACACACACACACACACACACACACACACAAACACAACACCCAGCTGCTTGTGTTTGGGATCTTCTTCTATGAGTTTACGGCGGCCGACGACGACCTCCTGTCCACAATCATCCACGTGCTCGTCCCGGCCTCGCGACACACGCGCAACCTCGTCATCAGAAACTGCCAGATGGTGTGCCTCCCCCCCCCCTTGCCGCATGTCTTGTGTGCCGTCGCTCGTACGTGTACATGGACCTGTTTGTTTGTGTGTGTGCCTGCGTGAGCGTCACTGCCAGAGTACTGATATCTTGCATGCGTGTGCGTTTCACGCGTCCATCGATGTTGTGGGCGCCGCCCTCCCCTCTCACCACATCCGACCACCATCACTCACCACCCCATCATCACTCCCATGATCACTGCCACGATCACGGCTACAGGTGATCTCGGCCGCGTTCTTCATCCCGCTGTCCCTGGCGTCGCTGCACGCGCTGACGACCCTCGTCATGACCACTGTCCTCGGCATCCGCTTCCGCTTCTTCGCCACGTTCCTCAGCTTTGTCGTCACGCTCGTCCCCATTACAGACCCGCTCGTTGTGCCCATTGTTTGGGCAGTTGCCCCAATCATCCACGTCACCATCAGTGAGTCGCTCGTGTGTATGTGTGTGTGTGTGTGTGTCTGCGTCTGTGTGTCTGTGTCTGTGTCTGTGTGTGTATCTCTGTCTCTGTCTCTGTGCGTGTCTGTGTTCTTGTGCTGTGTTCTTGTGCTGTGCTTTTGTCCAGCATCGTCTCATGATCAAGCATCCAACAACGCACCATGCCCATCCCTCTAACAACGCACCATCGCTTCTTCTGCGACAGCGTCGACGGGCCTGACATCGCTTGTCAAGGCCGTCGTGTTCCTGCTTGTGTGCGTGTACACGTACAGCTACGCAAACCGCCTTGTGTTGGAACAGCAGCGCGTGCAGGTTCGAAGACGAGGAGGTGGTGAAAGGGCGCCAGGAGGGGGGTTGAGTATGTGTGGAGAAAGCTGTGTGTGGATGTGTGTGTGTGTGTGTGTGTGTGTGTGTGTGTGTGTGTGTGTGTGGACGTGTGCGTGTGTGAGTGCTTGTGAGCGCGTATGAATGTGTTTGCACACACATACACATATGCACATACATTTCGACGCACGCACTGCCGTGATGCATTCACGCATCGCTCTGCTTGTGCATCCCGTGAGGACCGCAGGAAGTGACAGGCAATCCTGTGCTGACGCTGTTCAGCGTCCTGTTGGGCTGCTACGCGTTTGGCATTGCCGGCTTTATTCTCGGCCCGCTCGCCCTATATCTCCTCATGATGGTTGTCAGGCTGGTGAGTCGGGTGAAACTGTGTGCTGAGTGTGTGTGATTGTGTTGGGAGAAATTTGTGTGTGTGTGTGTGTGTGTTTGCACGACCTGATGTGGTTCTTACGCCGACACACACACACGCACGCACACACACACACAAACACGCACACACACACAAACACACGCACACACAAACACACGCATGCGCACGCACACGCACACATGCGCACGCACGTGTCTGTGCAGTGTGCGCGTGCGACGTTTGAGATGGACGCGATGGAGGCGGATGTGCGGGAAACGGCGGGGACGACCACACCGCCATCAGCAACAGCATCACGGTCAACATCACGCTCGTCGCTGTTTGCACGGGCGAGCGAGCGGACGTAGGGTGGTGGTGGGAAAGAGCCAGAGGGATTGAGTGGGGGACGCTTGTGGATGGATGTGGTTACGCAGGAAGATGTGGCATATGGGTGCATGGATGGATGTGGAAGGTGTGATGCTGAAAAGGGTAGTTTGATTGAAGTCACTTGACACACGTGATCCGTTTAAATACATTACATTATGTTAACGGGACGGAAGCAAGCAAGCAAGGCGCATGTTCGTTTCCTGAGTCGAAACACAAACCAACACAAATCACACATACACCACAGTCACACACAAACACACGCATACATGCACGCTACATACACACATACACATACACACATACACATACACACAAACACACATACACATACACACAAACACACATACACATACACGCACACAAAATGTCACAGCTCAAAGAGGAGCTGGTGCAGCCGCCTGGCTAGCGAGGCCTTAACGCTGCATCGTATCATGCGCTCAGCACGCAAGCGGTTGTGGAGATGTTGCTGGAGACTGTTGTGGTGGTGGCGGCCGCGCGAAACGCGCGTGTGTCCGTCCTTTGCTCGCCGTCGCTCCAGCAGCAGCCACTGTTTGTGCAGCCGCTGCTGCTGTTTGACGCGCAGCCGCGCCGCGCGCACGTCGATGACGTCATACAGGCGCCCGTGGGAGGACAGCAGCGACTGGAAGTGATGCAATGCGGCATCCATGTCCTGCATGCGCGTGCACAGGTGGAAGTTTGGCGCCAGCACCAGCTCGCCCAACACGGTGATGAACGCCACCGTGAACCCCTGGCCGTCGCCCAGCTGCCCGCACACAAACGCGCTAATCTCCTCATTGACAATGACGGTTGTGGGCGTGCCCCGTTGATCGAAGAAGAACAGCGTGCCGTCCCAGCTCACCACCACCGCAATCGGGGTGAACGGCGTGCGTGCGTGGGCTGTTGGCGGCGATATGGGGCACCCTGCCAGCAGGTGGCGCTGCGTCTTGTACTCCCACAGCACGCGGCGTTCGTCAAGCGAGAGCATCGTCACAATGCCGTCACTCGTGCATGTCAGCAGACACTCCTCCGGCTTTGGCGGTTCGCTGGACCGTTTGTCCGTTTGCGGTGGCGGCAGCAGGTACGAGTGCAGGCCCGCACGTGCGTTTCGTTTCGCTGTTGCTTTCAGCATGTTCAACCGGCCGCCCTTTCCACCACTGGAGCGACCACGCCCACCGGCTCCCGCCGCCGCTGCTGGCGATGATGACGATGACGACGACGCATTCGCCTTGTCTTGTGGCTGCTGCTGCTGCTGCTGCTGCTGTTGTTGTTGTTGTTGTTGTTGCTGCTGCTGCTGCTGCTGCGTTGCGTGATGGGTACCCTCCTTGGCCTGCGCCCCACCTGTTCCTGCCGCATCTGTCCCCGGCGCCATCGCCGGGTCCTCCGGTGCCGTGCGCGACGATGAGCGGGAGAGCGGTGACGGCGTCGTGACAGACGCGTGGCGCGATCGCTGCTGCGCACCAGAAACACCGCCCTTACCGTTGCTGTTGCTGTTGCCCTTGGTGGCTGCTCCTACAGTTGGTGTGGATGATGACAACAGCAGCGTTGACGGCGAGGCATCATTGTGCCCCTGCTGTTCCGTTGCCTTGTGGCCGTTTCCACGGTCAACACCACCCTGGCCTCCCTTGTCTCCTCTGCCAGCCACTCCTCTCCCTGGTGCGCTCTTGCCACCACCACCACCACCACCACCACCACCACCACCACCACCACCACCACCACCACCACCACCACCACCACCACCACCACCACCACTACCATTGCCGGCTGCCCTGCGGACCCTGCTGCCGCGTCGTGTGACGGTCGTGCGCACGAACATGCTGTGCAGGCTGTCACCGCGGACGCTGATGGTGCGCTGTGGCCGTGCGCGTGCTGGGGGTGGCGGTGGGCGAACTGGGAAGCGGCGATCAACGGAAACTGACAGAGTGAAGGCGAGGGCGGAGAGGGGTGAACAATGAAGACAGAGAAAGATGAGAACGTGATGGGGTGGGGGGAAGAAGATGAGGTGTGAGGGGCTGGTGAAAGCCGTGATGGATGGCAGGAGAGAAGAAAACTTCGCACGCACGCACACACACGCACACTGGCGCTCACCCACACTTGCGTACACACACACACACGCACGCACGCACGCACACACACACACACACACACACACACACACACACACACACGTTCAACGCACCCTTGAATGAAAACGTGATTGGCTGGGCGTCGCCGTGTTCGCGTCCGAGAACCCCACGCTCGCCGCGACGGCGCGTGAACACCATACGCTTCGGTGTCGTGTTCCCACGCTCACGAGATGATGACGACGACGACGTTGTTGTTGTTGTTGTTGTTGTTGTTGTTGCTGATGCTGCTGATGGTGATGCTGATAGTGGTGCTGCTGTTGCTGCTGATGATGGCGGTGGTGCTGGTGGTGCTGGGAAGGGTGATGGGACTGGCACCACATCGCCCTATCAGTGGGTTGCATGCAATTGCGAGTGCGTGAGCGAGTGCGTGAGCGTGTGCGTGCGCGTGTGCGTGTGCGTGTGCGTTGGTTGACAGTGAGCGAGTGTGAGAGGGAGAGAGAGAGTCAGTGTATGCATGGAAGGGCGAGCGCAAGCGTGTCATCTTGTTACTCATTTTTTTCCTTCACAACACCCATACATCGCAACCCTCTCCCTCGCAATCACCATCACCATCACCACGAGTTGCCCCACCGATGTTGCCATGACAGTCTGGCGCGCCCCCGTGCGCAACTTCACAGACGTGACGGCGGACAGCTGTGTTGCAAACGCCAGACGGGGCAGCTTGAACACCAGCAGGCGTTGCCGCACGCGCTGATGGGGGGGGCAAAGGGAGGGCAGCACGTGAGGCGTGTATGTGAGTGTGTGAGTGTGTGAGTGTGTGAGTGTGTGTGAGTGTGAGTGTGTATGTGCGCGCGTGTGTGTGTTTGTGCGTGTGTGCGTGCGTGTGTGTGTGTGTGCGTGTGTGCGTGCGTGTGTGTGTGTGCCGGAAAGAAAGGAGAGAGAACGTAGTGTGTATGTCAATGAAGGTTCACGCTCAAGACTGTGTGTGCAATGGTTGCGTGGCCTCTCACCTTGCTTGATGCGACAATCTCCTGTACGCTCTCGTACGTCTGTGGACGGCAGGAAAGCATCGAACGCGTGAGAAAGGGAAGAACCCCCGCAGAGTTGATTTCACGACCAACTCATCACAACAACAACAACAACAACAACAACAACAACAACAACAACAACAACAACAACAACAACAACAACAACAACAACAACAACAACAACAACAACAACAACAACAACAACAACAACAACAACAACAACAACAACAACAACAACAACAACAACAACAATAGCAGTAGAAGCAGCCTCATTATCCTTATCACCTTCGGCGGTGGCTGTCGACGCTGGCCCTCAGCACTCGACAGTGACGCGACATCTGACAGAGAACATCGCAGTGCACACACACACATACACACACACACACACACACACACACATGATGGAGGAGATGTGGACGGGCGCGTTCATAACGCGTTCATAACGAGTCCACGCCAGGTCAGGGCTGTTTGCGGCACACATGAACCAGACACTGACACAACACACAATGTGCCACACACACCAGAAGCACCACAATCACCACACTCTCCACCACCACAATCATCACAATCATCACCACCATCACAACCGCAATCATCATCATCGTCATCAGTTGGCATGGGTACCGTGCTGCATAAGAAGGTAGGATTCGAGGCGCCGGTCTGAGCGGCTGATGTACACCACCTTCGATGTTGACAGTGGAAATGCACACGGAGTGGATGAGCATGACGTGATGTTGACAAAGCAAACACGTGCACCCACACAGCATGGGCAGCGCACACGACACACGCACACACACACACACACACACAAATAAAACACACGCGCGCACGCACACACCAACACACACACACACACATACACACACATACACACACATGCATAAGTGGAGAGGGCGCACGTTTTCGTGGATGCCGGACGACGGGTTCAACTGCGGGGCGATGGCGAGCATCTTGCAGTTGATGGTGCACTTGAACGAGTACAGACACAGCAGCTGTCAGCCCGCAATTCGCGTACACGCGACAACAGGGTGGTCTCGTGAGGTTACGCTGTGCTGGGTGCGTCGGCAGACACACGCACGCATATGAATGTCCATCAACCAACTGCACCGCACACACCGCACACACACACACACCGTCATGACGGGCACGTCGAGAGACGTTTTGCGTCTGCATTCCAGCACATATGCACTGCCCTCTGCATTCACGGCCAGCAGGTGGTTCTGCATTGACGCAGCAAGCAAGCACACACACACACAAACACACACACACACACACACACACACACACACACACACACACACACACACACACGCACACACACACACGAACACACACGTAAATGGAATGGGTGAATGGATGAATGTGATTGAAACGTCGGTGTGAGCGCGGGCACGGGTGTCACTGCTTGTGGAAGTGCGTGTATTTGAGATGTCGTAGCACAGCACATGAACCATACCATCAAAGCCAAACGAGCACCCCACACAATAAGAGCAGCCACGACTGAGTTGCAGTCTACCTTGCCGACATTCATGAAGTCGCCGCAACAGATGGCTTCGATAGCACCCTCCACCTTGATGTGCGCCCAGCATCTCGAGTCTACAACGCAACAAAATTTGGCAAAGCACGCAAGTCAAGCACGGTGTGAGATGAGTTGGGAGTTGCACGTGTGTGCTGTGTGTGTGTGTGTGCGTGCGTGTGTGCGTGTGTGTATGCTGTACGTGTGTGTGCGTGCGTGTGCGTGTGTGTGAGTTGATTGCATATCATAACACGACACATACAGGCCCGCGACTCACTCTTGTAGGCGGTGATGTTTCCGTTGAGGTCACCAACGATCACTTCATTGTCCTGTGAAGGCGGAGAAGGAGGGTGAGAGCAATGCACCTTTTCAGTGACTGTGCAGGGGTGGGCTGACAGCACACTTTGCGTCAACGCAAGGCAACAAGAGCCCATTCACACGCCGCATGCACGCACACTTGTGTACGTACATGTCTACATCACACCCTCACACACACACACATCGCACAAACGTACAAACACACGCACACACACACGCACACACACACATCGCACAAACGTACAAACACACGCACACACACACAAACACACACACAAACACACACAAACAAACAAGCGCACGCCATCGTTGTCAACGTCGTCCAGCAGCATTGCGTTGGCCGTCACTGAGCATGGTCCCAGGTTGTTAAAGGCCTCGGGCAAGTAGCAGGAAGGCAGCGACACCTGCCGCTGCAGGTCATCTGCCGTGTTCATCACCACCACTGATGTGATTGTTGGCAATGGCAAAGCGACACTGTGAGCACTGTGAGTTGGAAATCCAGTGACCAATGACATGACTTTCAAAGGCACCGTGATGATGACGGTCTGAGAGCTGATGCAGACACATACAAGACGCTAGCGACGCTCATTCACAAAGAGAGAGAGAGAGAGAGAGAGAGAGAGAGAGAGAGAGAGGGAGGGAGAGGGAGAGGGAGGGGGAGAGAGAGGACACAGCACACACAACACACGCACACACACGCACACACACACACACACTCTCTCTCTCTCTCTCTCTCTCTCACACACACACACACACACACACACACACACACACACACCAACGTTGTCTTGTTCCGCTGGCCTGCGGAAGTTTTGTGAGCATTTTCGTTGAATTTTCTACAACCGAGATGCCGCGCTCCAAGCGAACGCCGCAGCGTGTTTTGAATACAGCAACTGACGCTGATGATAATGATGTTGGTGATGGTGATGTGAGCCAAGAGTATGTCGTGTTGCCGACAGAGCAGCAGGCCATGGACACGGCTGGCGACTACGCTTCATCTACAGCATTGTCAGCCCAGCCCCAGTCGCAGCAACAGCAGAATGTGTCCCACAAGGAATACGAAGCATTGACGGTTGGTTTTGTTGTGTTGTTGTGTTGCTTGTGTGGTGTCATGTGTGGGTGTGGCGAGGGCAGTGGCTGCGTTCTGCACTCGTTTGATGACGTGCTTCCCTTGTTTGCGGTTTGCTAGGCAATCATGAACCTTTCTGGGGATAGGGCACAGGCCTCCTCATCCTCAGCGGCTGCAACAGCAACGTACGCCAGTTGTGTATGCGCACGTGTACATTTGTGTATGTGTTTGTGGACGTGTGTGTGATGTGCGATCGTGTTTGGGTGTTTATGTACATATGTGTGTGTGTGTTTGTATGTGTGTAACGTGCGTGTATGCATAAGTGATTGTCGAGAAGATGCACTGTGGGCCTGTGCGCAGACTCACCCTCCAACCACGTTGGGCATTACTTCTCACAAACTCGAACACCATCGTCTGTGGTGCAGTGGGCCGCAAGTTGCGGGTTTGGCGTCGCCGATTGCGGCTGCTGCTGCTGCTGCTGCTGCATCCCGGCCCGCCATCAGCTCTCCGTTGACGAAAGGCGCGACGCGGGGCACGCCAGGCCGCAGACCAAAGCGAGAACAAAGCGCAGGTGAAGGGTTTGCATTATGTGCGCGTCTGCTGGGAGTGATGCTGGACGGACGACAGCTTTGGCCAGCGTCGGCGCATGGAGAAGCACCCTGTGACGGCGCGCGCACACACGCACATGATCACATGCGTGCACACGCACACACACACACACACACACACACGCGCGCGCGCATGCAGTGCCGCAATGCACGCTTGCACGCTCATTCGTTCAAACAACACCACCGCCACTGCCATGCCAGATGAGGGACCCCCGACGAAGCGGGGTAAGGTGAAGACCCCGCGTCGACAGCCGCGCCCGTCCCTGCGCGGAAGTAAAACCAGCAGCCCCGCCCGCGCCGCAGACAACGACCCAGAACTCCAGCCGGTGTGGCGTTTGGTTTTGTTTTGTTATGCCTGTGTGTGAGGTGTGTGTGTCTGTGTGTGTGTTGGTGTGTGTGTGTGTGTGAGTGCGAGTGTGTGTGTGTGTGAGTGCGAGTGTGTGTGTGTGCCTGTCTATCTGTCTGCCTGTCTGTCTGTGCATGTGTGTACGCGAGCATGCGAGCATGTGACCGTGTGTACACCCTTCAATCTCCACGCCCGTCTCACATCACCGCGTTCCTCCTCTGATTGCTGCAATCCGTCCCTCAACGCCCGACTCTGACGCCAGTGGATGGTTGACATGGCACACCGGCTGACCAAAGGCCTGAAGACGCGCCTCTTCCTCTGCTGGAGCATGTACGAATTCTTCTACTCGTCGCTCGACAAGTCAGTACCACATGCACGCAGAATGAGAGAGGGAGAGAGATGGCGAGCGAGACACACACACACATACACAGGGGCTTACACACACACACACTCTCTCTCTCTCTCATAACTGGCACATATGTGTGGGAATGCGTATGTTGTTTTGCAACAACCGCTCTTCACGTACAGTGTCAACCTTCTTTGCCCGACCATAACCATCATGTTCATAGACACACGCAACACACGCATACACATGCACACTCATGCACACACTCACAATCAACAACCATCGCATGGTTGCCCAGAGTAATTCTGAAGGACATTCGGCCCTTTGAGGAGTTCCTCACCCGCACATTTCCAAACGTCGCCACGGTACGCAATCACAAGGTCCACAGTGGTGGTGACAGTTGCGTATCACTTTGTGTTGTGCACTTGACGCCTGACGTTGTCTTCGACAAAGACAATAACAACAACAACAACAACAACAACAACAACAACAACAACAACAACAACAACAACAACAACAACAACAACGACGACGACGACGACGACGACGACGACGACAACAACAACAACAACAACACTCATCTCCACGCCTCCACATGTGCATGTGCATGTGTGTGTGTGTGTGTGTGTGCAACAGGTGCGCGAGTTCCGGCGACCCGAGTGGTTCTTCATCCGGAAGCAGTTTGGGCGGCGTCCGCGCCGGTTCAGTCCCGCATTTGTCAAGCAGGAGCGCCAATGGCTCATGACACACGTGAGTCGCAACTGCACCATCGTCATCGTGGTGGTTGCGGTGATGTTTGCATGTGTGTGTGTATGTTTGAATGTGTGTTTGTTTGAATGTGTACTATCGTGTGCAGACATGACGACGCTCATGGTTGCTCACCACCACCACCACCACCACTGCTGCTGCTGCCACCTTCCTCCCCCCCCCCCCTCACACACACACACACACACACACACACACACACACACACACACACACACACACACACACACACACACACACACACACACACACACACACACACACACACCAATCAATCACCACGACTGCAATCACCATAACCACCACCAGCGGGCTGTGCTGCGGCAGCTGCAGTATGGGGAGTTTGCGTCGACCAAAGGCCTCGACCTCCCGCCAGATGTCCCGCTCGTCCTCTCCGTCGGCGACCGCGTGCTCGGTGCGACCCATGATGATGATGATAATGATGATGATGATGATGACGATGATGATGATGATGATGGTGGTGGTGGTGGTGGTGCTGGTGATGATGATGATGATGATGGTGGTGGTGGTGGTGGTGGTGCTGATGATGGTGGTGCTGGTGCTGGTGCTGGTGCTGGTGCTGGCATTTTGCGGAGAGTCGAGATGGCTTTCATGCTGCAGCGTGTCTGTGCCGCAGTCAGTCTTTGCTTGTCTTCCACTTTCACCTCCCTTCACCTTCACCATCACCACCACCACCACGTGCAGCCAAGCTGCTGCCTTACAAAGGCCTGCTGTCGACGGGCATGATCCTTGCTGTTCTCTTCCGCGAGGACTCATATCGCATTGCCTTTGACCGCAAGGAGCTCGGCATCCAGACCGTCCCCGCCGAAGACGTCGCGGTGAGGAGGAGGGAGGATGGTGGTGGTGGTGGTCGTGGTGGTGGTGGTGGTGGTCGTGGATTTGTTGGTGGTCGTCGTCGTTATCGTCGTCGTTGGTGGTGGTGATGATTGTTGTGACCTCTCCCGCCTGGTTTTGCTTCTGCGCCACCCAAACCAACACTCACACACCACCACCACCACCACCACCACCATCATCATCATCATCATCATCATCATCATCGCCACCACCATCATCGCCACCACCATCATCATCATCATCGCCACCACCGCTGTCAGCCGCTGGAGGCGCCGCGGATGATCTCGAGTGCGCGCTTGATCAAACAGACGGCCATCGCCCACGAGAAGACGCAGGCACAGGTGGGGGCGGAGGGCGGAGGGCTTCGTGGTGGTGTAGTGTAGTGTGGTGGTGATGCTCATGTCGTGCTCATGTGATGGTGTTGCGTGGCGGCGGCGATATTGACGGTGGTGGATTGCATCTTCTGTGATGGCCGTTGATGTTGTGGTTGCGCTGCACGATGTGAATTTCAATGGGAGCGTTGTTTGATGCTTTGGTGCTTCGGTGAGCAAATGCATTGTATTCATGTGTTTGGCGCACAATCTCGCGTTTCGCTTCTGTTTGGGTGTGCAGGCTACACCGACAAGTCAAACGAAAGCAAGCGGTGAGTGGAACATGCTTGCAAATGCGCTGCACCACCTCCCAAGCACTTGCCTGTGCTTCTTCTCCCTTTGCCACCGCCAAACGCGCATACACAGGCCACAGGAGAACAGGAGTGTACAATGCATTCATTTACGATCATGAGCTCTCCTCTCATCATTGTTCACCATCTCCACCACCACAACCAACCACCACCACAACAACAACAACAACAACAACAACAACAACAACAACAACAACAACAACAACAACAACAACAACAACAACAACAACAACAACAACAACAACATGTCATCACTAGCAACTGCGCCGCCCCGCCCCCGCACGAGTGTCATCGGACGCGAATTCCCAACTCGCCGCGACCATCCAAACCCAGAGTCGATCGAGTCAGTTGGAGTGTGTGAGTGTGTGTGTGTGTGCGTGTGTATGTGTGTGAAGCTTGTTGCTCGTCTCTGTGTAAGCTCATGTGCTTGTCTTGTTCTTGCCTGCAAGTATCTCCTCCTCATCCTTCTCCCCCAATCTCTCTCACACTCCCAAACGCAACACGCCCCCCCCCCCACTGCGTTGTGATTGTTGCCTGCAGGGAAATTATGGAGCTGTTCTTTGCAGAGATTGAGGCGGATCTTCCATCCACCAGCGTCCCATTGCTCATGGTCCGCACAACACACTTGCATTTGGGGAGAGGGGGCGCACGTGATGTGCCACATGTGTGCGTGTCTGCGTGTGTGCGTGGCTGCGCGCGTGTGTATGTGGGGGGTGTTTTGTAATTGCTCGTTCACTTACCTGTGTCATGTCCTCCCCCATGTTCACACACGCACACTCGCATGTGCAGGCGCACTTGACGAAAGTTGTGCAGATGAAGAATGAACTCCTCGAAGCTGCAAAGACGCTCCCAGACTCCCTCCTCTGTACGCACACGCACACGCACACACACACACACATGCATGAGTGTGCGGGAGCGCTGGCATTGTGATGTGATGCTCATATTGACCCGATCCTCCACCCGCTCATGTGTCAACCAACAACAACAACAACAACAACAACAACAACAACACACACACACACACACACACACACACACACACACACACACACACACACACACACACACACACACACACACACACACACACGATGGTGATGACAGATGCGGAGAGCGCGCAGCACATGGACGCCGGGCACCTGCGATGGATCCTGGACACCCTGCAGAAGGTCGGCTGATGATTCTGGTCATTGCTGATGGATGGGGGAGCAGTAGCTGTTGGTCGGGTTAAACGTTTGGTACCACTTTTTTCTTGTCTTCATCGCCTTTACAATTGTCATTGGCACTGGTGGTGTGCTTCTGCTCGCGCCTCACACACACACACACACACACACACACACACACACACACACACACACACACACACACACACACACACACACACACACACACACACACACGCACGCACGCACACGCGCACACACACACACGCGCACACACACACACATGCTTTTCCTCTGGCGTGACGTCGCGTGCATCAGTTGCGCACGGCTGGCAAGGCGTTGCTTGCGCGCATCCACGAAGGCATGGACATACACGCGAGTGGCGGGCGCCTGCAGGACACGCACGTGACCACGCGCCACATCCACACGCAGCGGAACCGCCCCATTGTGCTGCCAGACGCGACGGAAGCCAGCCTGGCGGTGGACGCTGAGCATGTGGCGGATGTTGCGCGGCGCTCACTCCAGGGCGCCACGTCACTTGTGGATATGCAGGCGAACCAGTCCCTCGCCGGCGACACCACCAACGTCATTGCAAACCTGATGGCCGTCCTCTTTGCCATTCAGGTGGGCGTGTGAGCGGTGTGTGTGTGTGTGTATGTGTGTGTGTGTGTGTGTGTGCGTGTGTGCGTGTGTGTGTGAGGGGTGTGTGTGTGAGGGGTGTGTGCGTGTGTGTGCCTCTGTGTGCTGCATCAGGTGTGTATCTGATACTGGCAACGGGTAGTGATGTTTTTTCTCACACCTCCCCCTCCCCCCCCCCCCTCGCGGTGCGGCGTGCAGAATGCACTGCGGGAGAACATGCCAGCGGACGAATTCCAGGCGCTGGTGGACGAGATGTACCAGCAGCTCAGACACGCAGACATCCCAACATCGTGAGTTGTCTTGAGAGCAAAGTGTTGTGTTGTGTTGTGTTTGTGCTGTGTGCACTCAACTGCGTCCTTGTGTATTGTGTGTCATTTCTGTGATCTGCAAACTCGTGTAACTGAATTGCATCATCACCACCACAACTCACCATTTCCAACGCACATTCATGTCTGCGCGTGGTGGTGGTGGTGGGTTCAGGCTGTGCAACAGCATCCGCTACCAGCTCGACGCCATTCGCCAGCAGGTCTTCCACGGCAACGACCTCCGCGTCACATGATGCGCCCTGCGCAGTTTACGTGTGTGTGTGAAAGAGGGATTTCGCTGTTGCCCACACCACCCACCACCGCCTTGCGTCGTTACTTTCACTGCCCTCTTGTTCTGGTTCTGGTTCCGTGGCTGAGTGTTCATGCTGTGTCGTGTCATCCACAGTAAAAGCCCGCCAACCTGCACACACACACACACACACACACACACACACACACACACACACACACACACACACACACACACACACACACACACACACACTGCTACACCCCCAACATACGAATTTTGGCGCGGCAAATCCCGACAGCATAAAATTACTCTGGTTCACTCTTCCTTGTTTTGTTTGTTGTTTTCCCCGCCGTCATTCTTGACAACAACACCTCCCCCCCCCTCTTCCTTACACCCCCGCCTCCCCCAATACACAAACACACACACACACACACACATACGCACGCATACACATACAAACATACGCACCGTCCATCATGATGTCCTCTTCGAGCAGCCTGCCGAGGTACACGCGGAGTGTGGTACTTGATGTGTGATGCGAGTTAACGCTATCTTCGTTCCGGCTGCTGCTGTTGCCGTCAACTTCTGTGACAGTGTGTGTGTGTGTGTGTGCGTGTTTCACAGAACTCACTCACAACGCTGCTATGCACTCGTTTTGGCGCGATGCACCTTTTACTGCTCAGTGTGCACAAGAACTCGGCCACGCCCTCGTCTAGGAAGAACAGCATCATCTTTGAGGACGACGAGTTCCCAGACAAGGTTGTTGTTGTTTGAGTTGTTGTTGTTGTGTTGTTATTGTTTCGGTACGTGTTTGCACAACTATACTCCACCACCCGCCTCACACCCAGCCCACGCTACATGACGTGCAGCTGCCTGATATTAAGCTGGGCAGCGGAGACAGAACAAGGCGACGGCCAACACGCGGGTCATTCACAGTCCCCAAGCCCTTCAAAGTCGCAAACGTACGTACACAAGCACGTTTCGATGCCTGCTTTGCTATGGCTGGCTGAGCAGGCGCCCGTGCCCACTGATGAAGAGCACTCACATTTCGTCTCTTGCTTGCTGATGTGCACAGCGCCGGTTGTCTGTGCGCGAGCAAGAGTTCTTAAAGGAGCAGGAGATTATCCGCAAGAACCGGCAGCAACTCGACGACATCTGGCGCCTTGGCATTGAGATGGAAAGGTGTGCGAAACATGCGCGTGCAAATGTGTACGTCTGTGTGTGTGTGTGTGTGTGTGTGTGCGTGTGTGCGTGTGTGTATCGAAGACTGAAAGACACTGCGTGTAGGTTCTTTTCCTTCGTGCTCATGCACACACCTCCTGCCATGAAATCGTTTCCCCCCCCTCCCTCTCTCTCTCTCTCTCTCTCTCTCTCTCTCTCTCTCTCTCTCTCTCTCTCTCTCTCTCTCTCTCTCTCTCTCTCTCTCTCTCTCTCTCTCTCTCTCTCGCTCTCTCTCTCTCTCTCTCTCTATCTCTCACTCTCTCTCTATCTCTCTCTATCTCTCTCAAAGCAACACACTCTCTCTTTTTTTTCTTTTCTCTCGTTTTCTATTTTTTTTTTTTTTTTTT